ACATTATTGAGCTTCTGGCAGACCATCCTTTCGTCTTGGTCTCAACAAAGGTGACCTTATGAGTGATGGAGGCCACTTTCTTCCTAGTGCCATTGTTGAAACCAAGACAAAAGGATGGTCTGTCAGAAGCTCAATAATATGTGGACAGCTAGAGTCCGAGATGAGCATCTGAGTATATTAAATAGTAGACCATGTAGCTACATACCTAGAGTCCAAGATGAGCATCTGGAGAAGCTAGTATGCCTTGGACTCTGGAGTACAAGTCCTAGAGTAAACATGTCAACTACAAGAAGTGGCTGTAGGTACAGGTGATGAAGAGTTGAACTTAACTCCGAAAATAATGAGCGGAGAATAAAAGTAAGAAGATGGGAAGATGAGGGATAGTGTAGGGAGTATGGGATATGTGCAGGATATAGTAGTAAGAGACCATTGCGAATATATTCAAATAACAAAGAGCATAGAAAGCGAAGCACTCAACTAACATGGGAGGTGTCAGACCCTGCCAGGACTATTGGGAACTCAATAATGCCATTTTTAAGAATGCCTACCCCATTCCATGAGTAGAGGATCTCCTTGACAGAATTCCCACTGCTAAGCAAACATTATTCACCAAACTAGATCTAAGAGCAGGCTACAACAACAACAGAATCAAGGCAGGTGATGAATGGAGAGAAGCATTCATTACCCCTCTGTTACGGACCTTGGACAACTGGGGATCAGGAGTTCCAACTAAATTACTATGCATCTGAAAGCTGTGACACTTCAGTCCCATTCTTGAAGGGTTTTGTATGACTTAAGGTTGAGCTTCCCTAGCAGGGGAAGTTAGAGAGAGCACAAACAGAGTTAATCAGACAAGAGAACACCTAGGTTCTATTGTGAGTGTCTCTATAAAGTGTACATAGGGAACAAGAGGACAAAACTAAAGTACAATGCTGTAGTAGCTATGTCTTAAATAGAAAAAGGTATTGGAAATATCGTAGAGATCTGTCAATTTAGATAGAATGATATATCAGTACAGGAATTGAATCAAAGACTGATAGATGGAAGCAAATACTGAGATGGATCAGTGATGAGCAGCAACAGTTAAATATGGATGAAACTGGCAGATAGGGGTGATACACATCAAGGAAGTAATTTTCTAGGAATAGAGAGTATAGGGTCTAGGAGATGATGAGGAAGACAAAATAAAACCCCTCTCACAGGATTGTAACAGAAACTGAGTTCTGTTGATGTAAAGTGGAATAATGTTGTTGAGACCAAGATGAGAGGATGGTCTGCCAGAAGCTCAATGATGAGGACAGCTAGAGTCCAAGATGAGCATCTGGAGAAGCCAGTAGGCTGCTCCTTTGATGTAGGCCAGGGTGCATTCAACCTTATCTCTATCTGTCTTAAGGTGTTTGGGATTGCCTAAGAGGTAAAGGTAGAGTTCACCTAGGAACTGCTGACTCTTTGCTCTATCTCCTTCAAAAATACTGGGCTTGCTGACTGCACCATTTCAGCTATCAATGTTTGCCATGTCACTCTCCTGGTTGCTTGGGTTGTCATCTCCTGGGTTTCCTAACTTCTCTCTTGAGGTTTTATGATCCTTTGCTTCACCTCGTTCTGGAGAGGAGGAAGGAGGTGAAGGGTCTTTCTCTGGATTGGAGGGATCCCAAAGAAAGTGTCAAAGATACTGGCTCTGGATGCTGTGTTGACTGGACTGTCTTCCTCCTTAAATGTCTGGACTGGTGACTGGATGGGTGATTGTCTGGGTGGTATACCCTTGCATTTGCCACTAGAGGCTGCTGTGGATACTGGGTAGGAGGGTACTTTGGCTGGGGAAATATCTGAGGATGTGGCTGTAAGGGCTGGGACTATGCGATGTCTGTCTCTGTTGCTTCCAATGGGTACTAGTGCTCCTGCTGGTATTCTTACAGTTTTATCTCTGCTTCAATTGGGGGCAGGGAGTGTCAAGACAGAAAGTCCACTTCTGACTGGTGTTAATGTACTGGTCTGAGTTGTACCTAGTGTTAAATATGTGGACCCTGTTGTAGCAAGGTAAACTTCTTGCTTGTGCCTTTGTGGTTGCCACTGCGACTATTGTTGACAAGGAACTAGTAAGCCTAAGAGAGTTTTATCCTAATGTTAAGGGACCTGGAATGATAGAGGATCAGGAGTTGCTGTCTAGGCTTACTCTGTGTCCTAAGACTATGGTGCTTAAGTCCTAGACTGAGGACTTGTACTAGAGTTGTGCTCAATTAAGCTAAGCTTCCCTAGCAGGGGAAGTTGGAGAGCACAAACAGAGTGAAGCAGATGAAAAACACCTGAGTTCTTATTGCTAAGATATCCCTATGAGGTTTTTATAGGAGACAGGAGGACAAAACTAAAATACACTAATGTAGTAGCTATGTCTTAAATAAAGGAAGGGATTGGAAATGAAACTGAGTTCTGTTGATGTAAAGTGGAATAATGCATCAGTAGGTGGGTTGAATCAAGGAACCGATAGGTGAGGATGGAGGGAATGACAGTGATCTGAGACAATGACAGATAGATAGGAATGAGAATGATGATCATCAGTGAAATAGATACATGCTATACTTAGAATGTACAGGGTCAATGAGGACAAGGTAATACACAAAGAGAACCCTCCTGAGACTGTCACACATTCCATGTACATGTCTTAACACATTCTTGTCTTGTCATGAACATCTCATCGGCCTTCAGATCAGCCTTCATTCTCACTCTGAGTGCAATCACATGTACCTATTTCATATTCTGTGAAAGGCTCATTCATCGCTGTGCAACCTGAAGGTGCTGCTCTCCTATTTTCCACACCTCATTCATTTATCTCAAAATTTGGAATCCTTGCACATGTTTTCCAATGCTAAGATTAATGGAAAAAGCATTTGGACAATCATTATCTACAGTTATGACAATTACAATGGGATTATCTCTCTTCCAAATCATCAGCATAGCAGTGTCACCTGGCATTGCTAGTAGCATACTATCGTTTTTAGTTCTGTACACTGGGCAGATGTGTCAAGGGACCTTGGATGACTAAGGATCAGGAGGACTTCCAACTGGTGCTGACTATGTGTTGTATAACTGTAATGCCTAAGTCCTATGCTGAGGACTTGTACTGGGGTTGTGTCCAACTAATGCTGAGCTTCCCTAGCAGGGGAAGTTACAGAGTGCAAACTAAAGTTAAGCCGATAGAAAACACTTAGGTTCTGGTGCTGATTTCCCTATATAGTATGCATAGGAACAGGAAGTGTTAGTTGAGTGCTTCGCTTTCTATGCTCTTTGTAATTTAAATATCTTCACAATGGTCTCTTACTACTATATACTCCGCATATCCCATATTCCCTATACTATCCCTGATCTTTCCATCTTCTTACTTTTATTCTCCATTCATTATTCCCTCAGTTCTATTCAACTCTCCATATCTATACCTACAGCCACTTCCTGTAGTTGTACATGTTTACTCTACGACTTGGACGCTAGGTATGTAGTTACATGGTCTACTATTTAATATATTCAGATGCTCATCTTGGACTCTAGCTGTCCTCATTTTATTGAGCTTCTGGCAGGCCATCCTCTCGTCTTGGTCTCAACAAAGGCAGCTGCCCTCAACAGTGATGATGACAACAACAACAGCAATAATGAAGATCAGGGTGATGTTCATGACAATGATAGCAATGACAATAAAATGGACATAGACAATTTCTCTATCACCAGATCATCATGGTTGGATCACTTGTTTGTGCACTGCCTGACTCTGTTGCCCTCAACATTGCGCCTGCTCTGCATTCGCCTTTCCAGTCATATGAACTGCAATATATATGTTCATGAAATGATATAATACATGATACCTTTAGTACAGGAAGATCAAACATGTTCCAAGGAGCATGGTGAGTTGAAGGGATGGCAATTGCTACTATACACCATCCTACATGAACCACTACTGAGGTTCCCTGGACTGGCAGCCTTGGAATTGGTGTTTCTGGACCTTGCATCCTCAGGACTGGTGTCTCCCAGTCCTGCTCCCTGTGGCCATTGATGTTAGGGATTTCTAGAGAAGATAAATATAGTTATCAGTATCATTCACAAACTATTGTGACTTACAGTATCAGACACAGCCTGGTGGTAGGGGATCTTTGTCCTGTGCTGAGTGGGCAATGACTCAGTCAGTACATTTGCCATGTGGGATCACTTGGGCCTTCACAACAAAGATGCACATTCCTCAACCCACTCACTGATGGAGAGATTTGCCACCAAGTTGTGGACATTGTCAGCAGTATTCAATCCTACATCCACCCCCTCCTCCTTCTCCTTCTCCTTCTCCTTCACATCCACCTTCCTCTTCTTCTTCTCCTCACTCAACAATGTTAGATTGATAATGGGTACAACCTTGCCCTTTCCCTTTTGCAGATGAGTTGTTGAAGTCTAGTATCAATTGTGTATTGGACATTGAGAGCAATAACGTATACTTCTTCCAAAGTACAAATCATCCTGGAGATAATATTATCAGTATTGCAATCAAGATTATTCACATCTGTGACAACATATCATGGCCATCCAGCACTGACACCAGTGCAATGCTGGTACCCTTGGAGTGTGTTTTAAAAGCTGTCCTGGTACACAAAAAAGTGATATGTAAATTTATGACCACCATGCATATCACACTGACATCTGAAAGCAAAGCTTGGTCCAAAGCACTATAGACCCTTCACCATCAATCAGAAACTGTCATTGGTAGTTTACTGCCTGAAACTACCACCCAAATAGAAGATTCATCCTGTGTTTCATGCAGGACTACTCTATCCTTATTTGGAAACAATAATGCACAGAAAGAACTACCTCCAACCTCCACCGGAACCCATTGAGAACCAGGAGGAGTTTGAAATTGGACACATCATTGATTCAAAGACAGTTGGCAAGCAGACCTTGTACCGGGTCTGATAGAAAGGATACCTAGCTTCAGACAACTCCTGGTTGCCGAAAACCAAATTAACACATGCCAAAGATGCTTTGGCAGACTTCCTGCAACCAAACAGAGAGTAATCTCTTATAAGAACCATGCTCTCCCTGTTACAGTGTTGGAGGGGGGTTCCTTTTTTCTTTTCCTGACTATTCATTGTTGTCCCTGTAACTGTATGACTGATCCCATCACTTGATGTGTTTCACCTACATCTTCATCACTGATACAACCCAGTGAAACCTGTTTTATATACATCACTGATCCAACTCAGTGTTTCATACTTATTAAACTCTATTCACCCTGTCCTCTTTAAGTAGCACTGCTTGTGCTACTGTACTTTAGTTTTGTCCTCTTGTTCCTACCAATACCTACATAGGGACATCTTCAGTAATAGACTTAGTTGTCTATTCCAGTCTCAGTC